AAGCGGCTCTTGCTGCCAAGTTCACTGAAGTTAACGCTGTCAATAGACAGAGGCTGCAGAACCTGGAGTTTGCTCTGAATCTGCTGAGACAGGTAATGAATGAATCTTATTGTAACACAACATTCTACTCAAAACTGTTCCAACAGGTAAGAAACAAGACTCACTCAGCCTCAAGGAAACAGCCTGTAAACTAGTGGGAGTGGCCCTTGCAAATGCAGCTGGGCAGCACCAGTGCAAATACTGGCCCAAGCCAATGCCCCTGCTGAGTATAACTTATGTATCCCAACAGACATTTACTGAGTACCCAGTAAAAGGTAATATTTTTAAAAGTCGCTAATGTTTATGACAGCACTGTAATAACAAGAACCTGGAAGGAGCTCATTATTGGTCAACAATGGGTAATGAAATGATGGTCTGTCTACATGGAGCTATTAAAATGGTGTAGTGCTCTCTATGCTGCTATAGAGTTCTGTCTCCATATACAAAGTGCAACAAGCAGGGTGCAGAACAGGAGACTATTTGTAAAGAAAAGTAAACATAGCACACACTAAAAATATACTTGCTTTAAGATGACAAGATACCCTTCTAGCAACGGTGCAGGACCAGAGGAGGAAAACTATGATTTCACTTCACTCTCTTACACATTTTTAAAATATTTTACCAGATGCCTGTAAAAAAAACCCTAAATTAGTTGTTTCACCTTTTTCTTAAAGCCTCACCTGAGGATATTTTTAACTGATTTTAGAGAGAAAGTTTGGGGGGGGGGGGGAGAAAGACATTGATGTGAGAGAGAAACATCGATCAGTTGCCATATGCATCCTGACTGAGAATCAAAGCTGCAACCCAGGTACGTGCCCTGACCAAGGATCAAACCCGTGACCCTTTGGTGTATGGGATGATGCTCCAACCAAGTGAGCCACCTGGCCAGGGCTGTTTTACCATTTAAAACTTTTTAAAAAGATTTTATTTATTTATTTTTAGAGAGGGGAAGGGGGGAGGGCAAGAAACATCAATGTGTGGTTGCTTCTAGTGCGCCCCCTACTGGGGACCTGACCCGCACAACCCAGGCTTGTGCCCTAGACTGGGAATTGAACCTGAGACCCTATGGTTCACAATCCCATTGAGCCACACCAGCCTGGGCTGTTTTACCATTTTTAGATGTAACCCTAGAACTCCTGTGAACCCAGCATATAGGGTCCCTTACAGATCACAGGCCAACCAGTCTGACCTATTCACAGGTGACCAGGCGGCAACAGGCCATGTGGAGAGTCTGGCTTTAACCATGCACTGTCTTCTCCTTCCCAGCAGCCAGAGATAGGAATGACCCATGAGACCCAGCAAGGGAACAAGCTGGGCTCCCGAGGAGAGGAGACGTGGAAGATTCAGAAGGAACTGGATGAGGAGACTGAGCGGAGGCAGCAGCTGGAGAATGAGGTCAAGAGTGCCCAAGAAGAAATCCAGATTCTGCAGAATCAGAATCCCCAGGAAGCAGTGGTGAGGAAGGAGGTGCTGAAGAAGGTTCCGGACCCTGAACTTGAGGAGAGCTTCCAGCAGATGCAGCGGACCCTGACAGAGGAGCAGCACAAAAACCAGCTGCTCCAGGAGGAGCTGGAGGCACTGCAGCTGCGGCTACGAGTCTTGGAGCAGGAGGCCAGGAACGGGGGACAGGAGTATATAGTCAAGGAGGTCTTGCGCATTGAGCCAGACAGATCCCAGGCCGATGAGGTCCTGAAACTGAGGGAGGAGCTGGAGGAGCTGAGGAGGCAGAAGGGCACCCGGGAAGCAGAGGCGGTCCTCCTGCAGCAGCGCATTGCAGCCCTGGCTGAGGAGAAGAGCCATGCCCGGGAGAAGGTCACTGAGAAGGAGGTGGTGAAACTGCAGAACGACCCCCAGCTGGAGGCCGAATACAGGCAGCTGCAGGACGACCAGCAGAGGGAGAGCAAGCGCAGGGAGAAGCAAGAGGAGGAGCTGAGCTTCCTGCAGGACAAGCTGAAAAGACTGGAGAAGGAGAGAGCCATGGCTGAGGGGAAGGTCACGGTCAAGGAGGTGCTCAAGGTAGAAAAGGACATGGCAGCTGAGAGGGAGGCTGGTGACCTAAAACGCCAGTATGAGGACGAGGCCGCCAAGGCTCGCGCTCACCAGAGGGAGAAGAGCGAGTTGCTCCGAAAGATTTGGGCCTTGGAAGAGGAAAACGCCAAAGTGGTGGTACAGGAGAAAGTGCGGGAGATCGTCCGGCCAGACCCCAAGGCAGAGAGTGAAGTGGCCAACCTCCGCCTGGAGCTTGTGGAGCAGGAGCGCAAGTACCGGGGTGCAGAGGAACAGCTGAAGAGCTACCAGGGTGAGCTGGAGGCACTGAGGAGACGGGGCCCCCAGGTGGAAGTCAAAGAAGTGACAAAAGAAGTCATTAAGTATAAGACTGACCCTGAGATGGAAAAAGAGCTCCAGAGGCTCCGGGAAGAGATTGTGGACAAGACCAGACTCATTGAAAGGTGTGATTTAGAGATCTACCAGCTGAAGCAAGAGATTCAGTCCCTGAAAGACACTAAACCCCAGGTACAGACCAAGGAGGTAGTCCAGGAGATCCTCCAGTTCCAGGAAGACCCCCAAACCAAAGAGGAAGTAGAGTCTTTGAGGGCCAGACTATCAGAGGAACAGAAAAAGCAAGTGGATCTGGAAAGGGAGAGGGCTTCCCAGCAGGAGAAAATCAAACAGAAGGAGGAGGACCTTTCCCAGGTAAAAGAAAAGGTGGTCCAACAGGAGGTAGTTAGGTATGAGGAGGAGCCAGGCTTGCGAGCTGAGGTGGATGCCTTCACTAAGAGCATTGACGTGGAGCTCCGGCAGATTGACCACCTCCGTGGGGAGCTGCGGCGGCTACAGCGCAGGCGGGCGGAGCTGGAGCGCCAGCTGGAAGAGCTGGAGCGTGAGCGACAGGCACGCAGGGAGGCAGAACTGGAGGTACAGCGGCTAAAGCAACGGCTTGCTGACCTGGAGAAGGAGGAGGGGGAAGCCCGAGAAAAAGTGACCCTCAAGCAGAAAGTGGTGCTGCAGCAGGACCCCCAGCAGGCCCGGGAGCACTCCCTGCTCAAACTCCAGCTGGAGGAAGAAAGGCACCGGCGGCAGGTCCTGGAGAGTGAGCTTGAGACCCTGAAGCAGCAGCTCCTCAACCTGGAGAAAATGGAGGTCAAGGAAAAGGTGGTCTTCTCAGAAAGCATCCAGGTGGAGAAAGGTGACACTGAACAAGAAATTCAGAAGCTTAAGAACAGCCTGGAGGAGGAGAGCCGGGGCAAGAGGGAACTGGACGTGGAGGTGAGCCGGCTGGAAGCCAAGCTCTCAGAGCTGGAGTTCCACAACTCCAAGTCATCCAAAGAGCTGGACTTTCTTAGGGAAGAAAACCACAAACTACAGCTGGAACGGCAAAACCTGGAGCTGGAGACCCGAAGGCTGCAATCAGAAATTGAAATGGCAGCAATGGAAACACGAGACCTAAGAAACATGACCACAGTGGACTCTGGGACAAACCTTGACTCCAAATTGTGGTCCCTGGAGAGAGAGCTGGAAGACCTCAAGAGACTCTCCAAAGACAAAGATCTTGAGATCGATGAACTGCAGAAGCGCCTGGGCTCTGTGGCCGTCAAGAGGGAGCAGAGGGAGAACCATCTACGGCGCTCCATTGTGGTCATTGACCCTGACACAGGCCGGGAGCTGTCCCCAGAGGAAGCCCATCGGGCTGGCCTCATAGACTGGAACATGTTTGTGAAACTCAGAAGTCAGGAGTGTGACTGGGAGGAAATATCAGTCAAGGGTCCCAATGGGGAGTCTTCTGTGATCCATGACAGGAAGTCTGGCAAGAAGTTCTCCATTGAAGAGGCCCTACAGAACGGAAGGCTGACCCCTGCTCAGTATGACCGCTATGTCAACAAGGATATGTCCATCCAAGAGCTTGCTGTCCTGGTGTCTGGGCAGAAGTAGGCACAGCCTTGCCTTCAGTCTTCTTGGAAGCTGACACTGGCGCTCTCCTACCCTACGACCTCCCCCTAGTGTCTTCTCCCTGGCCCTGTGCTGGCACCTAGTCCATGAGGAGCTGAGCATGCCACCTACACCCTCTCTGCCAAACTACTCAGTGCAGCTCACGTACAAGAAGAATGGGCACCGGCTGCACCATCATTCAACCCAGGTGAGAGACCTGCTTCGTCCTCCAATGATTCAAAATCACGAAGCCCTTCTTTTCTCTCCCTCTTCCTACACACTCCCATCAACAGACAAGGGAGTGACACCTAGAAGCTATCTAAATACTACTAAAGCATAAGACAAGTGAGGCAGACAAGCCATTCTATGCAGCACCGGCCTTACCACACCATATGGGGAAACTCTTTCCCCACACCCTTCCATTCATCAAAGGACTGAGCCCCTTGGGACTGCCAACCTGCACTCACACCCATCCAAGAGTTTGGCTGACAGCCTACTTTCGTCAGACTTGTAATGGTGAGACAGATCTGGGATCTGTGCCAGAGAAGATGCAAAGAAACCAGCACAGTGTCTGGCCCTCTGTTGGCCAGACTATCCCAGGAAAATACACCATTAGAGACTGTTCTCTGGTTCTGAAATTAAAGTGATTTTACAGTGGACTGTGTTGCTGGTAGCCTTAGCTTCAGTGCCTTACAGATCTTGCTTATTCTCTAACTGGTACATAGGTGTACTGCATAGTTGATTTTTTACCAAATGAATTTCGGGTTCTCTGTATCTCTGTATTACATAAGAAAAATGGAAAGTAATAGGGAACTCCACTTATAGCACAAAAATAAACACCTGGTGGCTTGACTCTAATTTCATGCTAAGTGTGTTTCTTCCTCTTTTGCATGTGTGGTTTATTGCCCCTATTCCTTCTTGACTTTCAGGCAAAATGGATATCACATGTAGATATTTAACAGTTCCGATCACAGTTCCTATGGGAGAAAGAATTATTAGCAAATATGGTAAAGAGAAAAGAAGGAGAAACAATGTATTGGAAACTTTGAAACAATTTATTAAGTTGCTTTATACAAGATTAACAATTTCCACACCACCTCGTAACACCAACCCAGTGGCTGCACCAAAGCCACAGCCCCTTTCACACCTAAGAAACGGCTGCACCAAGGAAAGCCCTGCAGCACCGCAGCCTCCAGGCCCGGAGCCCGCTCTGCCTGTAGATCTGCCTTGCCATGGCTAAATCATTCACTCTTTCATTACCACAAATAAAGCATAAACAAGAAAAAGAAATCTCCCCATCAAAGAAACATTTCCCTGAGGCAAGAGGCATCACTAGATTCCTACAAATGAGGGTATTCTGCTCCAGCTGCACACTCAATGGTATGTGGGGAAGAGGGGGCACTGCAGGGGGGAACCCCGTGTCTCGGGCAGAAAAGGAGCTCAGGGGTGGTCTCTGCACTGCTCTGAGCTCAGCAATACAAATCTCTTCTTTGGCTCTTTTGCTACTTCCTAAGACTATCCTGTAAACAAACTGGAAATCCAAGTTGCAAAAAGTATATATAATAAAGGGATAAGGAACCCAAGTAGCCCCATGTGAAACGTGTTGGTTCTTACATAGTAAGTCAGAGCAGAGGCCTTGCTCCCCAGACACCAGGCAAACCTCAGCGTGAAGCATTGAGCATGGGACCCTGGGTGTCAGGAACTAAAAGAGCTGCCTGTGTCTCTACACAGCTATGCATTCTGAGGAGGCTATTTACTCTCAAAATATTTGAAATCACCTAGCTGGAGCAGTCAGTTCAGACTTGCTTTACGGCACAGACTTCACAGGACAGGCAAATGCCCTAAAACTCCTGGTGAAGCAGCCAATGGTTAAATGGGAACACCATAATGACTTGGGAGCTCCAGAGTTGTCTTCATCTGTCTCTGACACACTCTCCAATTCAATGGTGCATCACCCTTAAGTCAGGCATGGTCCCACTGCCTGGAGAGCCCTAGGACTTCAAGGCCTGTCTATACGGCAGATGCTTCACAAAAGCCCATACCTGCAGCTCTGCCTGAGAATGATTTTTAAATAAAATAAACTGGAATGTCTGTCTGTAACTTGGAACCCCTCATATCCTCAACCTCGAAGAGATAAAGGACACCTTTGGGGCTCTGCAGCCCACCTGATGAACACTGGAAAAAACAAACAGGGGCCCTGGCTGAACTGGGACCTAGGATTTGGAGTCCCAGGTGACCTTTAAGTCAGGACGGCACAGACTATGATGAGCAATAATAAAAACCTCAAATAAACTGGCTATGTCTTAAGTACAGTCATCTTTTAAAAAGGTCTTCATCTGAGATCCACTCAGAGGGCCAAGTGTACATGTGTCTAATTCTGCTCCACCATAAAGGCACTGGAATTATGTCTTCCATATGACATGCGAAAATATGACGTGCGAAGAACAGTCCCATTCTATCCAATGCATTTAATGGTAATGATGAAAACTGAGCTAAAAATAAGTATCTTTAAAAATCCTATCACAATTGTTGGATCTTACAAAGATCTTTTCTCTGAAAGAGCATCACTGTCACGTTTAGAGGATAAACTGGCCCCCACAATGAGCACACACTAGGTGTTCTGAGTAATTTTCAAAGAGACAAAGTAAGTCTCCCAGCTGTGGCATTAGCTTGGTTTTTTGTCCACTGAGCACACAGCCTGAGGATGGGATGGACAACACGATATCCACGGATCCTAGTGTGGCCAAAAGGAGTCCCTGACCAGTAGGGTGCCATGAGGTACTCTGACCAATGCCAGGGAATTGGGCAGATTTACAACACAGGCATGCCAACTGCCCAGTCCTGCCACCAGAGCTCCATACATGACCCAGGACACTCCCCGACCTAGAGCTGCCCCTCCAACGATTGTCCACAACAAAGCCACGAGGCCTGGATCACCAGGCCAGTCAGTACCTCTGGAGAAGCACGATGCTGCTTCCCTAACTGAAGGCACGTCACAAGTGCTGCCAAGAGACGTTCCACTTAGCACTCACGCCTTCTCCAGAAGAAAGCCAATCGGCAGAAAGAGCACACTGATTATCCAGTTTCAGAGACCTACTATTTCAGCTTTCAGCCTTTCAGAGCTTATTCCTCTGAAGAGGTCACAATTTCCGTGGAACACTGGGCCCTTTCCCATGAAGCTGAGAAGCATCTGGAAAAGAACAAGCAAAAACAACATAAATCTTCAGGATCTCTGATTCCCTTAAGGCAGCAGTAACCAAACCTCAAGGAGATCACCTTAAACAGCAAGAGCCTCTGTATGTTGAGTATTCTGAGGTTCAAATGAGCCAAAAACACTTGACAAAGGTGATTTGAGTATGCTGTTACTTGTAGCAGCCTGCAGCCTGCCGGACCCTCTGCACTGTTCACTGAAGGCAGCTGCTCACTGAGTGTTGTGTTCACAAACAGCATCTCTACTATGTAATGTGGGCCTACAATTACGTAGCCAAGAACTACCCTCCCGTGGCAAACCAGCCTTCCATGATGAGGTTTGACAGTCACACTGAACTCAAGGAGTACTCAGCATTCTCACCATCAAAAGACCCTCTGTTTCTATAAAGACAAGTTCAAAGGCACTAGCATTGTGAGTCTACATCGAAAACAAAGCAAAACAGAAACAAGTCGCACAATTAAAACGCCCAGTCAGCTTCTCATTACAACTACTCATAGAATCCTACAGCCTGAAGAATGTCTAGAGGAGAGAAGAACCTACTCAGTTAGCCTGTTTTAGCAATAACTGCTTTTCAATGCTTTTCTGATAGTCTCTTAATAACCAGAGGGAAAACAGAAAAGAAATGGTAAAGAAAGCACTTTCCTCTTTTGTGTTGAAAACACCACAGACTCGACAGTCATCTTTCCAGTGGCTCTTTAATTATCATTTCAGTTTGAAAGGGTGACATACCTGAAAGCAAGCAGAGGCAGTGCAATCTCTTTTTGAAAAACCACAATCTCTCTCCCAGGAAGCTCTGCAATCCCTACATTATAATCTCAGCTACGGCAGCAGCCACCAGTTTGCATGAGTCCACTACATTTTACTGTTTCTCCTGTTGAAAATGGAGTTAACTACTGATACAGGGTTTACTCTCAGTTTTTCTCTGAAAAGTAACAATTCCATATCAGAGATTTACAATCCACTCTTGCACCTAAATGGCTTCTGGCATTCACTACAAATACATCAGTCTAAGGACATGGGGGCCAGGAACCCAGAGCAAATCTGGAAGAGACAGCCCAGAGCTCTCAGTACAACAGGCCTCAGACATGCTCAGCTGGACGATTCCCCATCTTACTCCCACCAGGTACCAGTCTGCCAGCGTGGCTCCAGGCTCAGCTTCTGGAAGAATGGCTCTCCCTGACCAAGGTGGCCCCTGGTTATTTCTGGAGCAGGTCTAACGTAGTAATGCAATAGGCCAAAACCAAGATTCCGGAGGCTCTACACCAGCATTCCATTAGCTGCATTTAAGAATCAGGTCCCAGGACAGGGTGAGGCCAGTCACTGATGACAAAGGTGCCAGCTTCTCACAGCTATAAACCTAGGGCTCATAGAGGGTCCCTTTCTGTAAGCCACTGCTCTCACAGAGGAAAATCAGGAGGAAAAAAAAGGAAACACTGTCCCAACTCCTGTCGTGCCCCCAACTCTCTTACATAACTGAATTGAGAGCTCTTTTACTGAACTGAATTGACAGCTGCTCTTCTCTTGGATACACACATCAGAGGTAAAAGTCCCTCCTGAAAACCCTGCCACTGTGACTTCTCACTACTACTTGGACTTCCCCTTTCATTTCAACCAAGTTTACAGAGCCTTCTGTTGGCTGGTATCACCTGGAAGGCACAGCAGCTTGAATTTAAAGGCCTTAGTGCCCCAAGTAGCCAATGGCTAAGGATTCCTCTGCCTCACACACAGGTCACCATGACTTCCTCCGTGGTAACATGGGATAAGGCTGACCCAGTGACAGGGAACTAGTGGAAATCACAAAATGGAAGAAGCCTGTGTTATTCTGAGTACCCACAGAGCCACAGCCTCAAACAACAAACCAAGACAACACAGAGACAATAAGGTGAAGACACTGGAAACTTCAGCAGCAGACAAGGCATCTACTGAGTGGAGAAGGGAATGGCGCACAGTGCACATGGCACTCTGACCACCTGGCAATTACCTGGCAGACTCTGCGGGACGTGGGTGGACACGGCAGCGTGAGGGAGAGGTGCTGCGTGGGGCGGGCTGGAATGCAAACCAGCCAGGAGACCTGAGAGAAAACAGGAGGGGAGAAAAGAACAAAACACACACATTGGAGACGGGAACAGAAAAGCAGCCTCGGCGGTCCGGAGCCCCAGATGGCCTACTGGTCAGCCCTGGGTAAAAGCCCATGAAGAGCTCTCAACAAGGTCCCCAACGACGTTGCCCACAGCCACACACCAGACACACACAGAAACCTGGTACATGACAACAGAACTCGCTGGTCACAACGGAAGTCCTGGGGCACCATCTGTGCCTCTATCACGAGGAGAAGGGGACAAGCACTTACCGTGGCTGAGGCCATGATGAAACGTCCCAGGGGCAGGGCCTGTGACAATGGCATCCTTAGAGACCCCTGCTTTGGCAGAGGAGTCAGTGCTGAAGGAAAGCATATGGAGAGGAAACGGGGAGATGATCCCCAGGGAGTTCGAGTTCACAGCCCCAGGCAGCTTTGGGCTGCCTGTCTTGTAGGATGAGGAGAGCAGGTTTAGGGGCGACGAGCTGGTCAGCAGCACAGTCCCACTCGTTCCTTTCTGGGAAGTAAAAATAGAAAAGGGTCAGAGCTTCAGCCTGTCCATGGCCTGCTCACAAACTAAGCCTGTTAATGCACAGGGCAGGGACATGCACATGGATGTCGGCTGCCCGTTATGCAAGAACTCTAGTCTGCATCCCCAAAGAAGAAAGACAAAAGTCTCTCAACTGTCCTGGTATGTCTCCCAGGACTCAGTGTTCACTTTATAAAGTAGGATATCAAAAACACTTCCATTATGCCACAAAGAAAGGGAAGAATACCATATACAGACATCCACAAATGTAGGTACATAGAAATATGTGTATATGTATATTTATACAAATAACACACACCCACTGTATTCATTGTAATAACACAAAGGTATTAATCTTTGTTTTTAGAAAGAAACATAAAAACCCTTGCTGTGTGATAGGAACATAGCAGAAGCAGGTGAGACTTTGCTGAACATACCTTTCTATAGTTTTATCTTTGCAACCACACAGTCATTTTATATATTGAAAAATGAAAAGATACCCTCTCCTATTTCCCCAACCTGCATCCAGATTTCTGAAATTCCCACAGGCAACCCTCACCAACCAATGGACTCCATCAGACTCTATATGAACTGCAGAGTCCTTCAAAACCCAATGAAGAGAACAACTTTCAGAAGTTACTCATATTCCTATGGCATGAACATCTCCACATAATTAATGATCTGGTAGCAGTATTATTTTTACTGACTTGTTTGGAGAGATGGACAGGTAGGAAACTATGAAAGGAAAATTTTGTGGCTCTTTCCACATGTCCCCAACCCCCTCAGACTCTTAGCCTCCCTGCAAACACAGTGCTGACCAGTCCTCACCCTCCTAAGCAGTTTCAGGCTCTCTTGGGATTCTTACCAACAGGAAAGATAAGAGCAGAAAACAAGAAGTCCAGTCCTTTTGATTTCTGAGCTTACTATTCCTACCAGACCTTCAATGTCAGTTCTCACTGTCTGACCAGGGCAAGGCAGGTAGCCTTGTCTGCAAGACCCATGGGGACAGCTGCTATACCCAGACACTCACTGGCAAGGAGGTAGAAGATGTCACGCTGCTAGCTGCACTGGGCTTCAGGGAGGAGGTCAGTAACTTGGCCACTCCCTGAGTCCCACCACTAGAATCTCCATTGGGACCACCGGGAGGGGCCACCAGAGTCAGCTTCTGGGAAACAGGTGTCTTTTTCACTGCAGAGCCTGGGACAGGTCGGCTGGCAGGCTGTCCTGTGGAGGGAGGCTGTGCACTGGGGAGCAGATTCCCAGAAGTGGAGCTCTGGACTGGTGTTCCTCCAGAGGAAGAAGTGCCAGAAGAAATCCCGTGTTTAGAGACAGAGCCGGCAAAGGGGCTATTCTTGTAAGATGGCCCTGAAGAGCTGGCTGAGTGCTGTTTTGCTGGATGGCTCAGGGCAGCAGAGGACAAGGTTGGGGCCTTATGAGAACTGCTGCTGGAGGCTGATGTGCCTCCTGATGAGGCTGGTGTGGAGGAATGGAAGCTCTGGCCTTTGGCTGCTGTCTTCACGAGCTGGAGAAGGGAACGATGACATTGTGGAGAAGAAGGTTTGGGGCCCTGGAGCTTACTGACAAATGGAGCTGGGGGTGTGAAACTCTTTTGCTGCTGAGTGCCAGCATGAAAGACTCTTACTTGGGGGCCAGGAACAGGAGCTGCTGCCTGGGGTGCATGAGACGTCCGTGGCAAACCATGGTGTTTTGCTTTGGACTGATGCCCTTCTGGCAGGCCCTTGCTCAGGGAAGCCTGACAGGAAAGCTCTTTGTAGCCAGAACTCTCTGGTTTTTTCTCCTGAGAGGACTGCCCCAGTGCCAGAGCCTGTTCAGCCAAAAAGTTGAGGGGTGACTGCAGTGAGCTAGAAGGTGGTGGGGCAGAAGGGCTAGCCTTCGGGAAGTTCCTTTTTTCTTCTGTAGATAAAACCCCTGTAACTTTCTCTGCAGGTGCTTTCGAGGCTGTAGGCAGTGTGAACTCGGAGCTCCCACTTGCTCTGCTGTTCAGCACAGTCAGTTCCTTGGACACGGCCTCCAAGGAGGAGGCTGAACTATGGATCATGTCTCCATCCAATGAGTCTTCCAGGCTGACAGAAGCAGGATTCACAAGGTTGCCCAGTGCCTGGGATGGCAGCTCCCTGTTTGCAGCTCCAGTGCTTAGGCCTCCTCCCGGGTGTTCTGAGGACAAAGCCAGAGGGCTGCCAATCTGGCCTGATGGGATGGAAACCTTTTTATCAGGCTTAGCAGATGATTCCTGAAGGAAAGCAGAAATGCTGATGTTTAGAAATGTCCAAAGATGCCAACACTGGTCCTGTTGTGAGAATGCAAGCATGAGAACACCACAAGGTCCCCAAATTAGGCCCTCCTATATCATCACAATCAAGGGGAAAGAGAGTAGGTGACAGGCCTATGTGGACTTAAACATGTCCAGCTGGCTTACCCAAGCATGCTCTGGTGCTTACCCAAGCATGCTCTGGTGCTAAGTACACAGACAACCACAAGGAACCTCTTCTTTTTTCTGTTTCTGAAAAAATGCAAGACTTGAGCAGACCCTCTCCCTATTGGCACTCACACTTCTCAGAACTGAGAAGTGTCCCCTTAGCTTTAATCAGAAAGTGATACATGGCAGGAAAACTGCCTTGAATTAGTTTCCTTTTCCTCCTTGGTTTTCCCCAACACCTGTCTCCTCAGGGGTTCAAAAGAAAAGTCCTTTCATGGGAGTAGGAATGGGGTCTCTTGGATCACTTCTATACCCCAGGTGCTAAATGCAATATGTCTCAGTCATTGTAGAAGCTCAACAGATACTTAGGAATAAGCAGTTTGCACAGCTTATTCTCCCAGGCTGGTCTGTCATGGTTAAGAGCATTATAAAGTCTCAGGAACTGGTAAAAATTTAGTAAAACAGCAATTTCTATTACACTGAGAGGTTTCTGAAATACCTATGATCATTTTCAGTCTCTGTTTTCTAACCATTGTACTGTCTTTCATTTCTGCTAGGTAAACTCAACAAAGCCATCTGTCCTTTCTGCTGTAGCTACAGGCTAACCTGAACTATGCTAGAAGTGTATTCTTCCATAAAAAGATCATCGCAGTATAATACCCTCAGATAAGCAGGGGCTTTTCACTCCTCAGAAGCCTGTCAGGAAGACCTCATTTAACCCCACAACGACCTGGGAAACTGGCCAGGTGGGTACTGCTTCCTAGAACTGAAGATAGAGGGTACTCAGTGCCCTGGCTCAGGTCTCTGCCCTGCCAACAACCCAAGGCCCCTCTGGTGGGCCTGACCTGCCTCTTGGTACAGCCTCAAGAGTGCCATTCTGAAGAGCTGTCACCCAGACCAGCAAAGCTCAATGAGCTGTCACGGTCATTCAAGAGGTTTCATAAGCATGGCTGGAAAAAGAAGAGATGGCATATGATCCAAGCAGGCTGACTCACCTTCACCTTGATTTTAGAAGGAGCTATTACTTTCTTCTTGGCCCTGTACAAAATGAACACAGTAAAGGTTTAAAGGAGATCCACCAAGGAGATAAAAATGACAATAGTCTTGAGAAATAAAAACAATGAGACACTCACAGGATTGATGTCAGGTGCCCATGGCCCCTTCTGCTCTCCTTAAACAGAGTCCTGAAACAAACATAGAACACTGGGAAGTTTGTGTAAACTCCCTGAAAGCAAGGACTCTGCTTCTTGAGTTTCTGACCATCCCTGGTACTCAGTACCTACTACTCATTAAATGTCAGAGTAACTTACTTCACTGCTGGTGAGAGGATCAAAATTGGCAGTGCCGACCACCTGAAAGCCAAGAGTCTAGGATTTACAAAAAAACAAAAACAAACAAAAAACCCCCAAAGACAAAAAACAAAAAAAGAAAAAAACCACACAATTATGCACTACACCCAAATTTCCCACAGTGATTTTTCTCTATGAAAAATCCTAAAAGGCAAGAGTACTTTTCTTATTGCTGATTTTCATTCCTTCCAAGAGTAAAATGTATACTGATCCATGACATGTCTCTTTCCAGAGAATCTCAACAAAATTATCTTTATGCCTTTCCCTTCATACCTTCAAGAGTCCCATCTGTAAGGAGAGATCAATTCCAACTACAAATGAAATACTGAAACAAGAAAAGGCTCCATGATTTGTCCAACCTACAGAAGAGTCAAGCCCAACAAGAACACTGGCTCCAGCAGAGGATTCTGGGAGATGGCAGAGCAGGAAGCACCAGAATTAATCCTCTCCCCATCTGGACAACAACTGCACTGGCAAAATCTCTCTGATGTACTTATTTTGGAACTCTAGAGCCTGTTCAAAGCTTACAACTTCCCAGGAAGGCTTGGATGGATAAATTGCAGGTTAATTTAAGGCAATTTCGGCTCTTAGCACAGCAGCAGTTACCCATCCCCTAACTCCAGAGTGAGGTGGTCTGCACACAGCTTGTGGGATCTAGGGCGGAGAAAAGAATGCTATTCTATAAATATCTGGGACCTGTGCTCTAATTAATGACTGCTGCTTCTGATCACAGAGGGCAGCCATTGTTTCTCTTCTTGCCATTGCTGCAAACCCCTGCCCCTTTGGTTAAAGTGACTGCTAGGAAATTTAAAGGGCCAGTGCCCTTTTCTTAACTTCTTCATTTTTCAATTTTTCTGTTTTGGAAGCCAAACATTTAAGACTAGGCCATTCAAAACAAGTGCATACATGGGTAAAATTAGGAAGTGACTATGAATACCCAAGAAAGTCTCAGAAAAGACCTATGAAAACATTAAATTTATAACTCAGGCTGAACCTCAGCACATAGCCTAAACAATCAAGAAAACAAAAATAGTAACAGCAGCAACAACAGAAGAATTCCCTGGGGAGGGGGGATTTAATTTCCAGAGTTACCACATTATTCGATTTAAATGTCTAGTATTCTACAAAAATAACCACAAGGAATACAAAGAAACAGAAAAATGCAACCCAAAGAAAAATAAATAAAATTAATAGAAACTGTCCCTGAAAAAGATCAAATGACAGCTATATTAGACAAACACTTTAAAATATTTGTCTTAAAGTAGTCCAGAGAACTAAAAAAAGATGTGAAGAAAATGATGTGTGAAGAAAATTAAAATATCAATGAAGAGACAGAAAACCTAAAAAGAAACAAAAAATACTAATTCTGGAGCTGAAAACTATAATAACTGCATAAAAAAATTCACAAAGGGTTTCAAAGGCATATGTGAGCAGGCAGAAACAAGAAGCAGTGAACTTGAAGATGGAAGAATGAAAATGATCAAGTCTGAGAAACCAAAAGGAAAAAAAACTAAAGAAAAGCAAGCAGAGACTAAGGGACATGTGGGACATAATCGACCAGGCCGGCATAGACACCACACACTAAAGAAGTCCCAGGAGGAGGAGAGAAAGAGAAAGAGCAGGAAGAATAGTGAAGAAAATGGCTGAAAACTTCCAAAATGAGATGAGAAACATGAATATAAATACCCAATAAGGCTTTTGGTAAAAATAGCAGAGTGGAAAAACACTGTACTTGCCTACTTCCACACCCACATCAAAATTACAACTAAAGTACAGAGCACCCATCATTTATGACCCCTGCAGTCTAGCTGAACAGAAGTGCTACAGCTGAACATACAAGGGTGGAAAAAAACCTGAAATATATTTTTAAAAATTTGTGTATTTATTCTTACATCTTTAAACTTCAGTCATCTTCAAAGTACTCTCCATTTGATGCAACACATCTATCAAGATGTTTTTTCCACTGCTCAAAACAGGTTTTTAACTCATCAATTCTGATGCCTTTTTACTGCTTCTGCTGGTTTTATTTAATGTTTTCCACATTAGCAAAATATTTCTTCGAAGACTTTCTTCATCCGTAGAAACGAAAAAAAGTTGCTTGGGGCAAAATTGGATGAATAGGTAAGGTGGGGCACAGAGGTCATGCTGTTTTCGGCCAGAAACTGCTGAACACTCAGTCATGTGTGGGCAGGTGCACTCATAAATCACCAATCATGAAACAGCAAACAGGTTGAAAGAATCTTCAAAAAAACATTCACTGAAGCCAAATGCAGCCTCTTGTAGCAATGCCAGCTGGTACACTGATACAGATGGGTTCCCAAAACACTGAACTAGTAGAGAAACCCTGTACTGCAAAGGGCCTGCCCTCCAGAAGATAATGCACATAGACCCATATTGAGACTGGTAAGAGAGGCACAGATGACAAATGGGTTGGTCCCACATCCACATGGGGTGTTTAAAAGTCTGGAGGGATATCTTGGCTATAGCAGTCTCCCCTAAGAAGCAAGGAGTCCCTCCCTGCACTAAGATCCCCAGCCCAGAGTTCCAATGCCAGGATAGAAGTCCCCAAACTTCTGGCTGTGAAAACCAGCAGATTTGGGGTTAAGTAAGACAGAGGGCAGCTGGAGTCCCAGGTGTTCCGCTAAAACAGGGGTGTCAAACTCATTTTCACCAAGGGCCACATAAGCCTCGTGGTTGCCTTCAAAAGGCCAAATGTAATTTCAATTCCATAACAATTAAGAAGCAGTTACATTTATTTATACAGTCCTAAAATTATTTTGGCCCTTTAAAGTCAACCTCGAGGCTGATGTGGCCCCCAGTGAAAATGAGTTTGACACCCCTGTCTTAAAGGTTCACAAACCCAAAAGCAGCAGCATCTGGCCTCATGTGTCCTACACCTCTTGCTAAGTAGCCCCAAGCCATACACAACGAACAGCCAACCTCAGTTCTCAGCTTTGCCCTCTCAGGCACATCTAAAATTAGCACAGTGGCAACCATCTATAGATCACTTTGTAGTTCATACCAGATGGCCCCAGGCTGGGCACAAGTAGCGACTGACCTTGGCCAGCACCTTCCAAGAGGCCCCAAACTAACACATCTGGTGGCCAATTTCAGACCAAACCAGAGCATCACCCAACCACCCCCACTAACAACACACTCAAAGGGTAGTCTTAGCAGGCACCAGGGCTCCACTAAAGCAAATCCTACTCTATAGGGTCACCCCTTGTACAATAGTTCCTCCACTGTATTCACAGACAGTATTCAAAATTAAACTGATTCAGGGTCAGTCCCTCTCACTAACATGACAACAGTAATCAAGACTCACAACAGGAGGGACACACAACCCTCACAAGGGTGACTGGCTCAGGTGACTGGGAGACTGTATCACTAGGCCTCACAAGACACCTACTACATAAAGGCACTCTACCAAGACTGGGAGATGCTACACCTCTACCCAATACACAGAAACAAACACAAGAAGGCAGCCAGAATGAGGAGAGACAAAAAAATCCAAAAAAAAAGAATAAAACTTCAGAAAAAAAAAGAACTGAAGAAAATGGAGACTAGCAATGTATTAGATGCAGAATTCAAAACACTGGTTCTGAGGGTGCTGGCTGATCTCAGGGAGAACTTCAACAAGGAGATTAGAACATAAAAGTGGAGGACTTCGGCCAAGATGGCGGCGTTAAGTGGAAGCACTGCACCTTCTCACACAACTAAGTTTAAAAACAACAAAGTTTAAAAAAAAACCAAAGTTTTAGCAACAAAAACGCAGCCAAACCACAGAAAATTGAACTACACGGAAGTCTGACAACAACAAACCACTCAGCTAAACTGGTAAGAGGGGCAGAGCCAGCAGCAGAGCAGGGTCAGGCAGGAAAGATTCACCGGACCGACCCGGGCGCACAACCAAGGTGCGCCAACAGCTGTGGGCGGATGCCAGGTGTGGAGAAGCGGGTGGACCCACTAAGGGCTGATGGAGGTCACACATTCGAGCACAGATAAACCAGTGAAGGAGCAAGCAGTGAGACGGACTGCGCAGGCCCCTGAGGCAGGAAGCGGCAGAGGGAACCGCCATTTGTCCCTCTCTGACCTCATCCCCACCTACAGCATCACAAACCAGAGACCTGGGTGGCCCCGCCCTGGTGAACAACTGAGGCTCAGCTCCTCATACATAACAGGTACAAACAGATAAAAACATGGCTCAAGAACAACTCAGAGCCCCAGAGCCAATAAATCTAAGCGATGAAGAAATAGCCAAACTTTCAGATGCACAGTTCAAAACACTGGTGATTAGGATGCTCACAAAACTGGTTGATTTTAGTCACAAATTAGAGAAACATATGAAGGCTAAACTAATTGAAATGAATGAAAATACACAGGAAACCAATAGTAATGGAAAGGAAACTGGGACTCAAATCAAAGCAGTGGACCAGAAGGAGGAAAAAAATGACCAAACAGAAAAATATGAAGAAACAAGAATTCAAAAAAATGAGGAGAGGCTTAGGAACCTCCAGGACATCTTTAAACGTTCCAACATCTGAATCATAGGGGTACCAGAAGGGGAAGAGGAACAGTCACGAGTGGAAACCTTATTTGAACAAATAATAAAGGAGAACTTCCCCGTTCTGGCAAAGGAAATAGACTTCCAGGAAATCCAGGAAGCTCAGAGAGTCCCACAGAAGTTGGCCCCAAGAAGGAACACACCAAGGCACATCATCATTACATTACCCAAGATTAAAATGAAGGAGAGAATTCTAGAAGCAGCTAGAGCTAAGGGGACAGTCACCTACAAAGGAGTTCCCATCAGAACTTTTCTGTCAGCGGATTTTTCA